AGTTTAGTATTTGAAAAAGTATACATCTTCTATGTTGAAAATGAACAATTCAATGAACTTAAATTAATAAATTCAATGAATTTAGTCCGAACTCTACTTATAAAAATTTAAAAGAAAATCTTAAATATTTATAAAATAGATATCATCTTAACATAATATTTAATAAAATCATATTATAAATGTGTAAAATAACATAAGTTAAATGTATTTCTATCACAAATATGCCTCAAAAAGTTTTACGTTGAACACCAAATTTTAACATTAAGTAATTCTCTTGCACACATTTGTTTATTACCTTTCTTTTCTTTAATTCATATTCTACCTTTAAAAAAATTGAATAAGTGAGTTAGCATATTAGTTTTTTTTTGAATTTGTTAAGAGTATATTTTAATTTTTTTATTTTTCACTTATCTTTTCGACATTAAAATAAGAGTAGAATTCACTTAAATATTAAAATTATAAGGCCTACCTAGTTTAGAAAAAAAAAAATTATGTTTTTTGATGATATTTTTAATTTTTCAAAAAATTATGAAAAATGTATATTATTATATCAAAATTCAAAATGTTTTGATTAAAAAAAATTGTTTTGAAAAAATATAATTAAAACTATTCCGTTATGTGTTTAAAACACGATTGATTATGCAAATCAACAGATTATTATTAAGGAATCAACCAAATTACAATAAGTGGAGTACAACACCTTACATTTTAATTTTAAGTTATAAATAATTTTACACTTGGCTTCAATCAAAATACTTACAAAAGATTCGACTAGATTTTATATATTATTTAAAGATACATTTAAAAAATTACCTTTACACTAATTTTTTCACATAAAAAAATTAATTATTAATAAATATTGAAATAATTATTTTTGTTTAAAAGAGAGCATAAATTATTATTGGGCTAGAGTTGGTTGATTAACAATGTACCCATTTTAGGGAAGGTACTTTGACATCTGATAAATATGTGTCTGGTGGGGCATATATAATTATATTTTTTATGAATTAATTATTAATTTATTTTGAAATCATTTTTGGTGGGTAATAATTTTTTAATAATTTTTGCTCACGTGGTTACCTGTGAAGGCCAGCGAATCCTATTTGGAATACGGCGTGACTCGCGGATTCTGCGATCTGTTTTCGATTTCTTAAATTTTCTCACTCAATTTTTTTTAATTTAATTCAAATTCAAAATCTCTTGTCAGAATGAGCAAAGAATAAATAAATAAATAAAATAAATAAATCTCCCTCACTCTACCTGCAATAATAAGCTCACATTAATAAAGTCGCCATTCTTATCGCTTCAGTTCTTCAGAGCTTCAGCGTCGGTTCGGTGAACCTCTCTGGTTCCGATCTTGACGAGCTTTTCGGATTCAGGTACTTTCTCCTTTTTCGTTCTCTCGTATTTCAGAGTTCTCTTTCTGGTGACTGTTCACTGCTCTTTGGACGGGGAAACTAATTTTTTATTTTCTGTTTGGTTCCTGAGAAATAGGTGAGCTGGAATGGCGGATATGCATTTTCTCGTGTCTTTCTCCTATTACTTTAGAATTTGGCTTAGACTTGTTTTCTTTTCTTTTTCTCTCTTCTTCTTCTTCTTCTTCTTCTTTTTTTTGTTACATGCATGTGGATTTCGATTTGATTTTTCCTGATTTCTCGAAAATGACGTGCAAGTGAGATTTTGATATGCCGTAATTCTCGCTACGATTTTCCAATTTTTTTTTTCTTCTTACTGGTATCCATGGCTTCGATTGTTACTATTGGCTGGATTTTACTGTATTTGTGTTTGTCCTCACTTCACGTAAAAATCTCTGGTGCTTCATTTCTCGGAAACCAAACAAGCATGGTTGTAAATCGTTGAAAGTAAATTGTAGATTAAATGTAAGAGCGTCCTCACCCTCTGAATCTTTTGAATTAGTAGATCTAGTAATCTAGATCTTCGATTCGCTTTTTTTTTTGTCGCAGTAGCTCTTGATTGCACTTCATTCTATTTGCATTCTTCTGACAATATGCATGGAAATTTAGCTTGACAGATCTGTTAACCGGATACGTATAATAAGAGTAAAGATCTACCGAGATGTTGATGCTTTCCTGTTCTCTGACCTTATTAATATATTGTCCTACAGCCTTTAAACTTCTGGAACTTTTTTTTTGGTCTATAACTCAACCGAAAGCTGCATTTATGCATTCTACAGTGTATAAAATTGTTTTTCTTTTTCCTATATTCGTCTAATTTTTTCCAATTTTCTAGTGTGCCCTCTTGTACTTTCCTTTGCTTCCAGAAAGTATAGCTGTTTCTTTTTAAAAGCTGCGTTAAACATCTTTATTCCGAACAATATTATTACAAGATAACTGTCTTAAGAGCTACTCCAATATTTTGATTTTTCAGTAACCGTCAAAACTCTTCACTATTCTAGATCTACAATTTAGAGTTTGTTATTGGCTTTTTGGTTTTTACATCTATCTTATTTTGCCCTGCTTTGTTTTTGCTCAATTTAGTGGATTATTTAGGGTTCAAACTGGTAGAAAAATCTCCATGCCTGTTCTTGATTTGCAGTTAGAAGGTAAAAGTTTTCTTCTTAGGTTGGGTTATTTGGTTTCCCTTTCATTTTTGTTTGCGTACCAGCATGGTTTATGAAGTTATAGGAAAAGAAGGCATTCTTTTTTGTCCCTTTTCTTCCCTTCTATTTTGTACATTTACTGAGAAATTTGAAGAATGCATGGTATCACCTCCGGTTGAAGTTTGTATGTAAATGTCATTGATTTCTGAGAACTAAAATTGGAGAACATTAGATTTTCCATATGATTATGAATTAAAATTTATTTGAGTGAAAATTCATGCATTTCAATAATTAGGTAATATATGACACCAATTATAACATATTCAACAATACCACAATCTCTTAAAGAGGACAACTAGACAGACAATGTCTCCACCACATTCTCATAGAGTGGGTAAAAGTACTGACCATCTAGACTAGGGATGGTTAGGAATTATGGATTAAATTTGAATGCTCTCTTTATTTAGTGTTATCTCATTCTCTTTGATTGTCTTAGAGTGTTGTGGCCTTTTATGTTTATATAGTGCTTTAATGATGTCCCATAATTAAGTCTGGAATAATCTCCAATAAAAATCAGTGTTCATTGTTCGTGTGGTGCTAAAAAAATTATCCACTTTGTGCATTTAATAGCTTTTTTTTTTCCGTTTCCTTCTATTTTCTTTTTGTATGTTGTAAACTGGATGCAGTACAAAATATGTGTGGACCACTAGGTACATCATTTTCTTTCAGAAATTTGTCTCTATGCAGTTAATTAACTAATTCTCTTTGGGGAAGATTTGATTTGTTGGGATGTGAGATTGATCGTAATAATCTTCCTGCCATGAAAAAAGCCTTTATTCATGCCGCAGGAATTGAAATTAGAATTTTAGAAGTATGTTCATTTAGTTGAAGACTCATTGATCTGATCAGCACTCTCTTTTCAAATGCTTTGGACTTGGCTGTCATTTTCTCTTCTCCTAGAATTGAGGTTGCTGATAGCAACTATGTGCTTGTTGGTTCTAGGAGTGACATATCATCAATATCTTCTTAAGCTTCAAAATCGCTCAACAGATTCAATTACTCAAGTATGAAATATTTATTTAATGCCTCGGATAAGACTTCCTAATAAAATAATATTGAACTTCCTATAAATTTGAACTGAATTTCTACTTGTACCACAATGAATTTACATAAGAAATCTCTTTTGATTCTTGAT